TCGTATATATTAAACATTAAGTACATTTTTCAACAACGACATGTTAGAAATTGATGAAATTTTGTTCTAGCTGCTAATTATTCTTACGCAGTACCATACACTCCTAATTTATGGGCATGGGCCCCTAAATTAGGGGCATGGGCCCCTAACTTAACGGGACCCTTTTCAAAATATAAGACGCTTTTTGTATTACCTAAAAATTTGTATTACCTAAAAATTTTTGTATTACCTAAAAAATTAAGTTTTTTTAAATAAAATGAGGCCCTAATTAGGAGAACTTTTAGAAGAGCCTCTAACGACACTGTTCTTACGACTTACATTTACTTTAATTACCTGTAGGCGCCGGCCCTGGACAAGACTAAGACGTCTAATTTAAAACGGAAAATTTGGCTGCTTAATAATAATATAAACGTATTAATATAATATAAACGTATAAAATAAATTATGAAAGGTATATAGGAAAGAGTTATGTTAAAAAAAATGTAATAATAAAAGAAATAACATTATGTAACTATCTGATAATTCACAACAATTCAACTAATCTAATCACAAACTCCATGCAAGTTGAACTTGATTTTGTTTTTCTTATGCCTGTGTATCCATTAATAGAGTTTAACTTTTTATAAAAAGTTATTGCAAATATTTACAAATAAAAAATTGTTACTCAAGTTAACGTCAGGAAGGGCATCAGGTTGTGAAACATTGCTTTAACTCTTTCATAGTGGCCTTTATGTCACTATGGAAAACCATCCAAACCAAACAAGTGGGGGAAAATGAATATAAAAGTACAAAAAAACAAACAAAAAAAAACACAAGCTAAACAAAAATTTTTATCAAGATTTCAAAATAATATTATTTCAATGTGTTTTATATTTATATTTATACTAAATAAATATTTTATTTAAATATGTTATTTATATGTATATTATTTATATTATTATATATATATAAATATGTTATTTATATTTATACTAAACATATAACAACCCTAAAAATATTTTGACTTTATTAATGTTTTGTAAATGTTCATTTTATTGTTTTATAAAATGCAATATCAACAGCAGGCATGTATGAATACATGGAAATGATATCATTGGCTTTTGCAACAGATATAGACTGATAAGAAGCACGAAAGCAAGCTGCCATTGGTATATTGGTATTTAATGGTTTTGCAACAATGGTTGATGCTGCTTTCTTGACAGACTTATTTATACGAGCTTGTGAATAATTATCTGAAAACGAGGTTTTAAAAAAAACATGGTGTGGCAGTCCGTTTTGATAAACAAGATTTTTAACCTTTGAATAAGGCACTAACTTATAACTTGACAAACCAGCGACAACTGAAAAATTCTTTACATCTCCTAATTGCATTTGGTAAACACAGAAAGGTTTTTTACGGTTTACATTTTTAATAGCTCTTTCTAGCCCAAGTGGACTAAATATTTCTGCAGTTGAGAGGGATTTTTCAATCTGACTATGAATGTTGTCACATTCTTGAATGCTGGAATGACCTGGCTCGCAGAACTTCTGTTCAATTACTTTTATTTTGTGGGTATCGTATTATAAATTCACACAAAGCTGCTGACATGAAACTATTGCGGTTTTGTGGTACACATGAATCGAACCAAAGTATGAACTTATTTATGTCAAGGTCAGCCATGATTTTCAAAAGCAAACATGTTACAGCACTAGCTAGATCATTTCCTCCACAACCAGTCATGGCTTCGTGCCAAAGGATGCAATAACCCTTCCTGTTAAGCGAGCAATGACCAGTTAAGTTATAATTTGAAAGTTTTCGTTTGTAATAAAAGTTTCCCACATTAGCTCTAGGCAAATTTAAAACATTTTCAAGGTCAATACAAACAATTGCAGTTTTAGAATCAACATTTTGGCGATCATTTTCACGTTCAGTTTTGGTATCATTCCTTGATTTTATGTGCTTATTATAACTATCTGTTTGTTCATTGCTTGCATTAACAATGTTGCGATACTCATAGCATGTGTCACATAAATCTTTCTTCGGTTTTTGAAGTTCTATATTGAACTCGTGATTAAAGATATAACGATACATATGTTCTTTTGCTGGAGGAGAGACATTTTCATCACAATATATTTTATAAAGATCATACATTCTACCTATATTTAGTGATCCTTCCATGTATTCTTTATGTGTCTTTTTCCTGCTATAATGAGCATCAATTCTTGAGAAAAGGTTAATATGGTCTCGTACAACTTGTTTAGACTCTTCTAGTAACCTTTTTTTAACATGTTTCCCTGATTTTGATTGGAATGGTGTTCCAGTAGTTAAAGATTTATTAAACTTATGAAAGTAAAACACTCTATGGCTGCTAATATTCAATGTTGAAAGATAATATGATTTACAAACTCTATATTGTGTATTAGAAACAAAAAAGCTATAATAATAAGATGTTTTTCTTCTTGAATTGTCACCAGCAGCTGTCCGACAGCGTTTTTTCTCCAGATTTTCAGTAGTTTTAGAATAGAAATGTTTTTTTCCGTCATCATCTAAGGTCCAAAAGTTATCAAATATTATTTGACGCTCAATCTCAGATATATTGGTAGAACATTTAAATTTACAATTTCTGCAACATTTTAGTGTAACAATAGATCTTTTTGGCATTTGTTCTCCTTTCGTATTTTTATAAGCTTTACCCGACTGACGTTGGATTTTTCTTACACTTTGTTTCGAACTACTCCTATCAGCTTTACGTTTCCTAGAAACCCCACCATGGGGCGACCGACGAGAAGGTGTAATGCCAAGCAGCTCTAACGATTAAAATATTAATTTTTTATTATCCAGGATGTATAAATAATAACTTTTAAATTTAATCTAAAATGGCACAAGCGAAAGTCGAATTCTACTTTTCCAAAATTATAATACAAATTAAGTTGAAAAACTACCTTCGTTTTGATTTAGGGCAGGTTCCATTTCTTGGTCAATATTTGCAGTTGCCATTTTGAAAACAACAAAACTGATAAAATTATTCCGAACAACTTTGTAATTGTAATATGATTGGTTGATTGGAGATAGAACAAGATAATATTTTCAAGTTTTCTCATTAAGGAGATAGAACAATGCAATATTGCATGCAATACCGTGTTAAAAGTTTCATTTTTTTTCAATATAATTAAAGTAGAACAACACAATGCTAAAATATTCGAAAATAATAAAATCTCAACTTTTTCAAAAATTGGAGATAGCACAAGATAATTCTAACGTCGCGAAATGTTAAATTAAAAAAAAAAAAAAAAAAAAAAATTTGTTCTAACACACGGCCTTTTTTCATATCAATACTTTTTTGTAAAAACTTTCCATGTGTACGCGTACGCGTACCCCTATTTTTTTAATTTTTTATTTTAACAAGGGAGCAGTTACGTGACTTACAACATGTCGCAAAACGCTTCTTTTTTAGACGTTTAAAAAATATTTGAACATGTTTTAATATTTTTTTTAGATGCCTAAAACATATCATGTCTCAACTGGGGTATTAAATGGTAGTAAAATATGACATAAAACTTGTACATCTTTTCATTTCTTTTCGTTTCTATTTTATTAAATAAAGCTAGCAAAAGATAATAACAATGTTGAACGCTAATTTTTTTAAATAGCTTGTAGTCGAGTTACATAAAACATGCTAAAGACAAATAGATACTTTATGATTTCGGTTTCGTTAAAAAAAAGTTTAGAAAATTCTTTTTCTTTTTTTTTATCTTTAATTCGAAACGGAAAATTAGTCAAATTTTGGTCAAGACTCGAAGCGTTTATTTTAGGTGTAACACTTAAAATTTAGGTGTAACACTTAAAATAAATTATACTTGGGATGGGAAATATTTAAAATAACTTTTTTTCAATACGTAGACAACTGTTTTTTTCTACAAGAACTGAACTTTATGAAATGAATAAGTAAAAAAATTAATAAAAATTATAAATGATAAATTTAATTAAAAAAAAAGTTCTTTGAAGAACGGAGAAAATTAATTTATTTTAAAAGCTATTTTAAAAAGAATAGATTCATATATTATCGTATATATTTCGTATATATTACATATATTATATAAGTATAGATTCATATATTATCATAAGTTATATTATTATATATACAAATCGTGTGAAAAATTTCAACGGAAAGTCGACTTGAGTGGAAAGTCGACAAAATTGAGTCGACCTAACGTTTTTCATCTTAGTTTTATAAAATTCAGTCTTACCTATAATTTTTTTTTTTATTTCTATGAAATATAGTAGTTTTTGATTAAAAATACAAATTTGTTTTTTTTAATTGCCGTCGATGAGTATTTTTTTAAATATCTCATTTTAAGCTTATATATGTAAACAAATTCAAAATATCGACGTAAGGTCGACGGCACTTAATATCTTGAAAATTTTGAAGTTCAACTGTATATATCATGCTGTTATGGAGTCAAAAATGTTTTCTCTGTCACTCAGTTAAAGTTTTGAGAGTTTATTAACGGATATCATTGCAAATACAACATATATATGAAATATAGGATATATACAGTTTTACTTTAAGTCATTTCCATTTTTCTCGTATTTCAAATGAATTTCCTTACCATGCGGAATCGCTTTTCCCGGAAACTTGTTGTTTGTTATGAATGTTTTTGTTTTGATTTCTTTATTTTGAAAATTTTGTATGTTTATATTGTTTGTTTATATTGTAGCTGAACCTTTTTATTTTTTTAAACTAACTTTAAGAATCTTATTTTAAAACTTTTTTCTATTTTTTGAAATATTTAGGTGCTTTTATGAAGGAAATATTATTGCTATTTAGTAAACTAGACAACCTATTAGAAGTCTAATATAGTCTATTAGAAGTCTAATATAACCTATTAGAAGTCTAATATAATATATCCTACTTCTAGTGTATTTGACTTCTAATAAGCATTCAGATTAGTACTGCTAGTATTACAAGCAGTATTTATCTGTATGGTACAGGTATTATAGTTTAGGCAGGAATAACTATAAAGAGTTTTCGACTGTTAACAGTCTTAAACTCTTTATAGTTATTCCTTCCTAAACTATAACGCCGTATCATACAGATTAATACTATCTATAAGTAATGTCTAATAACTAGTAATTACTAGTAATATACAAGTGTCTTATAATTAGTTATTAGATACATTAGTTTAGTAATTAGATCTATATATTATAAGATAGTTATTATTAGTTATTTAACAGTTGACAAGATGGTTTTGTTTGCCATATTGTAGTGAATAAAACCCTCTTATATTTGTGATCTACAATGGTTTAGTTAGGAGAATGCATGAATACTGGTATAGAATAGAACACAAGATAGAAAACAAGACTAAATAGAAAGCTAGAAAATAGGAAATAACTGATTCATATTCCTTTATTAAATTAAGAAACTATGATTGTATCAAGTTAACTATATTTTATGGTAAGCAAGTTGGCATACCTGCAAGACTTACAAGTAAAGAACATGAAAATGCCTTGAACAATATATGATTAAATGAACAAAGGATCAAAAATGCATTATCTGAAAATCAATTAGAATGTAGAATAAAGATTAATTATCAGTCTGGAAGAGGGTTTAGTTGTTCATTTCCTGTCTTAATTCCTACTGATACAATTAAAGCAATAAAGTTCTTAGGTTTGGCTGATTTTAGTAGTCAAGTTGGAGTTTCAGCAAAAACTCTCTATTTATTCTAGAACACAATTTTTACAAAAATTCTGTTTTGAATAAAATATTCTAAAAATATAATAACGCAACTTAACGTGATAGAAATCTTGTACGAATAATTGGAATTGCCTTGCTACACTAATAGCTGATTAAAAGGTTTCGGATGCTGAAACGACTATCAAACTTCAGCAGCTAACTATCTTTTTTTATAGGGAAAGTGTCTTGGAGCTTTTTATCAAAACTCCTGTATATATATAAATATATTTTGATTTGTTTGAATAGTTTTTAAAGTAGCAATTTTAATTTTTTTAATAATTGATTTTCGCAAGAAATATTGTTATGAGAAAAACAAAAGAACACAATAAAATTTACTAAAATTTTTTTAACAAGATGTAAAGCAAGACTTTTAAAAGTGATTAAAGTTAAAAGTAGCACTGCAAGCAGTTTAAATGAAGTAGGTATGTATCTTATTTACTATTTAATTTTTTTTGGCATGTTTTTTATATGTTATAAATAAAGCAAATAAGTTTAAAAAACAAATAAAATTTTATTTGTATATCAAGTTATTTTTTATATGCCTATTTTTAATTGATAATTAAATAACTTTTATCAATATTCTGTACTCAAGTTTAAAAAAATACAAATGAAAACTTTTTCTACTGAATATGAAAGCAGTTCAAGCAAATTGTAGTTCCATTTTCAAACTAATGATTATCAAATAAATAAAACTGAAAAAAGTTCTGTCTCAGTCTCAACTTTTATAGCAAAGTATACACCAGATAATCTGACTCTATTTATATATTACAACTTTTTTTTGTTTATTTTGAAGATTTTTTTAAAATTTTAATGATCACATTAGACTATAAAAAATTTTTTTATTTAAGGTTACATTAATTTAGGGATTTAACTGAAAGTTTTCTTCAATAGCAGCTAAAATGGTGGTGCAAAGTGGGCTGTGCCCTCAATACAAGAGTAGAAAAAGTTAGCCTACATAATAATCAAATAGTTTATTTTTTATTTTTTACCTTATTTATAAACTTAAGTTGGCTCCTTCACTTCAAATATAGTTCCTCTAATATAGTGAATAATACTTGTATGTGCACTGTAAGCAAATACTTAAAAAGTTATTTTGTGTATAACTATGGAGCAAATTTTGACAATTCATTTTTTAATAAATGTGTTTTTATTTTTTTCAATTTTTACTTTATTGTATCAAGAGTTTGTTTAGGCATGAGGGCAAGGAGATGGGTAAAATTTCAGAGCATTTGAGAAAGTTATACATATGTGAAAACTTTTGAGTCTTGTGAGTAGCTATAAAAGTTATATAAATCTTATTTAGGTCGTAGGTATAATCAAAAGGACAATATAAGTGAGAGAGTGTTTTTTATAAAGATTTCTGAAGTATGTTTGTTTAATCACAGGGTATCACTTAATGCATTTACTTGGATACCCTGATTAGGTATAATAATATTGTATTAAAAAGATTTATCGTTTTAATACAATATTATGGTTAATTTTTATCAAATAAGATGGAATAAAACAAAAAATTAAGGGTAAATGTTAAAACATTCCATAAACTTTTTAAAATTTATATCACTTGTCACAAGGTGCTGTTTTATTCTTATTTTACTTTTGATTTAAGTAAATAACTTTGTATCTTTTTTTCAATTTACAGCACATATCTTTTCTATTTCAGGTCGACAAGATATGACTAAGTTTGGATCAAAATACGGATCTGGCCCAGACACTGTTAAAAACAAAATTATTAACGAAATAGCATAAAAGATGCGAACCTTTTCCGTAGTTCAAACGACATTAAAACTTATTTTTTTAAAGTTAATTTAAAACAGTTCCAAATAAAATTTATACTTTAAA